AGAAAGGCCTACCAAAACCTTAGTCTAGTATTTCTATCGTGTTTTGGAACATAATATGTTTTGCTACGATCTAAGAAACGACCGAAAAACAGCAACAACAACACTAGAAATAATTAGAAAGAAATAAGTTACGATTTTCTTCCGGTAATGGACGGGATGGGTCATATATAAAAAGCGGCGTCCGTAATCGAGTGGTGAAGATAGTTGACTTGAAACCACTAGCCCCTCATTGTTGTTGGTCCGAATCCTTGAGGTGTTTTTGGATTCTTTCAAGTGATGAAACCATCCAACTAGCTTACTGGGTTTCGGCTGTTCTACCACGCTCGTACTTGATTTAATACAAGGAGAACCTGATGGGTCTTCATCCACCAGTTCAGGTGGAAAACCGACATATGACCATACAGTGTTGGTGGGAAATAAACTCTAACCAACCAAACAAACAAAAGATGTAAAAAGATTGCTGCTGTATAAATTTGTTATGAAACCTCACAGTCAGGGTGTCTCGGCATTGGTCGATCATGTGCTAGATTTAAAATCACCGACTAACACATATTTCTGTAGGCTAGATTGTTTAGTTTTCTTTAAACACGACGTGATAAACATCAAATTCTTTTCATTGTTAAACAAAACAAATTCTTATTACTTTTTATGATTATAGCTGACGTAAGTTATTATATTATCTAGCTAGCTTACGGAACGTCGTTGGTTCAACTTAGTTGCCCGTTTATGCCTGAAATAACGCACAGAGGGCACCAGTTAAGCATGAAAGTCGCAATATGACCTATTATACTGTGTTTGTTTGACGTAAAACCCAATAAAATAAATCTTTAACTAGAACTGTGTCCAAAGGACACGGATGCCCCCACTGACAACATATATATGGTATATAGTGAAAAAATTAACAAAGGGCCATAATTCTGTTAAATTTGGTCGCAGCGAAAATTCCTTCCTTAACTAACATCTACACATTAAGGTTGTTCATCCCTGGAAGTTTAAGCAAAATTTGCCATCCGGTTTAAGAGGAGTTGCGTATCCAAATTTTCTATATGGTATATAGTGAAAAAATCAACAAAGGGCCATAATTCTGTTAAATTTGGACGCAGCAGAAATGCCTTCCTTTACTAACATCTACACATTAAGGTTGTTCATCCCTAGAAGTTTAGGCAAAATCTGCCATCCGGTTTAAGAGGAGTTGCGTTCACAAAATTTCTACATAGTATATAGTGAAAAAATCAACAAAGGGCCATAATTCTGTTCAATTTCGTCGCAGCGAAAAGTCCTTCCTTTACTACCATCTACACATTAAGGTTGTTCATCCCTTGAAGTTAAAGCAAAATCTGCCATCCGGTTTAAGAGGAGTGGCGTTCACAAGATTTCGGGACGTACGGACGGACGGACGTACGGACGGACGGACAAGTACAACGCTATATGCCCCCACTTTGTGGGGGCATTCAAATCAATTTGTAGATATCTCATCGAAACACGTACACAATTGTGATATTTTCAATGAAATAGATTATACAAACAAAACACAATAAATATTTTTATCTTAAAATGTTAGGATCCCGGAAAAGACAATGATATATACATGTATATAGCAATTGTTTCCAAAGTATTTCAGGAGGGAGATTTAAAAATCTGGCAACTGTATCGTAAACAGCAGCATACGGTGTCTGCTTCTAAACAAAAAGCTTATGAGCTCGGGCATTAGGAGCACGACGACCATGTTCTCTTATACACCTAAATATTTTTTGGTTTGCAAATGCAACAAAGCCAAGATATCAGATTAGACCAAAATATCTTAACATTAAAGAATACATAGCTATGTTTACAATATGAAAACATTTTCTTTATACAAAATGTTCAAGTTTAAAGGATACAGACACATTTTTTTTGAGTTTATAAACTATTCGCAATACAAAAATTACACATTAACTAGAAGTGCAGATTTTCAGCAAAGATAGGAATAGAAATCCTGTGGTTTTATGAACGTTGAAATAAACATTATGCTTTTTACATACAGTCTTAACAGAAAGAATTGATAGCGTTTATTGCTGATGGCGATTAATTTTAATATTAATTCTTTGAAGATACAAAATTTGGAGTTAGAAATTCAAGCAATTTAAAATTTATTTATTCAATCAAATAATTCTTAATCACATCTGATACAAAATTTGGAGTTAGAAATTCAAACAAAATAAAATGTATTTATTCTATCAAATAATTCTATATCACTACCAGTGTATTTAAGGAATATCTAGACGTTTTAATTTCCATGTTTTAGATATATTTTAAGAAATGTACGTAGAAAAGCTTGATTCTGCAAAATTAACGCTGAATTATACGGCGGAGAAGTCTGATGTTGTGAATAATGTTAGGTGCATACTTTTTAATAAGATACGAACTGACAAATACGATAAACGCCATATAAGAGTAATAACAAAACTGAATCACATGCTTTTACATAGTTAATGATAATCTAAAACCTTTGCATTTCAGTTGATTAGGTAATTAAGAACATTTTTATATCAACTAAATGACGAAACGTTCTTACACTTGTAAGAATTTAAGGGACAATATTTTGACGATAGTGTTGATAAAATAAAGTAAACAAAATGTCCCGATTTCATTTAAAGGCATACTAAGCTTCGGAAATGAATATTATTTTTATTTTATTCTTTAGAAAATGGCCCATATTTATTTTATAATGTTGTAACAAAAGATTTAGGAACATGTGAACTGCAAAATAGCTTTATCGTAAAGATAGCAAAATGTTAAACACATGGTATTTTGAATTAAATACTGAATCAATATAACAGTATATTCTTTGAGTGACCTTTTAGAAACTGTAACAAGACACCGAATGCTTCATCACACTGATTATGCAAATAACTTTGCTGTCATAGCTCGTGGTCGGAATATCTTTTACATGGTAAGACTTTAACTTTTCAATTATCCAACTTTTTTTGAACATTGCAAGATAGTTCTATGCTATTTTTGAATTTCGTTGTAGGGCCCTAAGATATCGTAGTAAACGTGGTTGTTTCTCGAAATTACCATAACCGTCCATGAATAAGGCTCTTTCAATCTGAGCCTGCAATATTTTCAAATTTGCCATTACGGGCGTTCTTTTATCTGTATTTGATTAAAATTTAGGCTCTGCAACAACTGATTTTATTGTTACAAGAATTCATACATCTAGCAGTTCTTAACCAGAACAACAAATATATGATTTATTACCTATATTATAAACCATAACCTGTTTCAGAAAAGATAAGACACCTAATGTTTTGTTAAGTCAGTACTTGATTGATTTTTCTTGTTAATCACAACACATCTTGCAAAACAGAAACACATTAAAGAATTAAAGATAAGATAAACAAAAAGCATCACGACAATATATTATAAAACAATGCTGCACAAGAAGGTTTAAAATGTTTCATTAAAAGATTTGTAGCAGAAGAATGTTAGAAGCATCGTCCAGATGATCCGGCCATAAATCATTTCATTTTTTCGATCTTGGAATTAACTGCGGTACAGGCCATTGCATTATAGACAGGTATGAAAGAAGCATTTTGATCCTCACATATCTCTTGCTCAATTAAAACAAATGCTAAACAAAGCCAACTTGAAAATGGAAATATTTTTGCCGTCCAGTGGACAGTTAATCAAATGACGTAAAGATTCATTTATAGATTCATTTACACTTGTATAAATAAGGATAGCTGATTTTGCAAACCTTCAAACATTAGCTGTCAATCAATCCTAAAATACTACTCAAAGATTATTGTTTGGACATCTTTGCAATTTTTTATTGAACCATGATTACAATCAAATATTCCTCAGTCGTACATGTATACAAAGTCTTTGCCAAATTCGTCAGGTTTTACTTAAACTTTAACGATGCCAACAAAACGGAAAGGAATTGTCATTCAATTGTTTGTATTTAACGTTACTGAGCTTTGTTTACAAATCGATCTGAACTGACCAAACATTGTGTTGAAGAAGACATTGACTTTAAACAATTATTTTATTTCATGAAATTACACATATTAACATGTTGGTTAGATTCAGCTTCACGCAACAGAGCTCTGCCGTCATATCTTATCAAGCAAGAAATATAGATCTGACAGGAAGTCTCGCCCTTGTTCGAATATATGCACGGTTTCAAAGCATTTCCTTAGTTCTAACATGACAGTTGGGTAAATAGATAAGATATCTTTAATTTATTTCTAAATATCAAGTCAATCGACATTTTTTATTTGCTTATCATCACTAAGCTGAACAATTTTTTGTAAAGAAAAAACTTTTGATATGACTTATGACTGACGTTATCTATATGAAAATCAATTTGAAGTCAATTTTATGATAAAAATTATGTCGGTACGTTCAGCTATATAAAAAAAGATTTCAAATAGTTCGGTTAAATTTAAATATACTGATAGTTGCTATCAATCTCTTTTAAATTTAAAAGTACATTGAGAAGATATGGTACGTTTTATAAGGGTAACATAGCATGAATGCAAAGTATAATTAAAACAAACCCTGGATTAAAGGCCTAGATTAACTTGACCAATAATAGGGAATGCAGCTTCCCAAATTAAGTTTTTGCACTCCCTTATTCAAATTAGACACAATCAGTAACAATTTCCTAGATTTAAATTTATTTCTGCAGTAACAGGTATTCTACCCAAAGATGAGCACAGTATATATTTAATTTTGGGCATTCATCGGACCTACATATTTTGATGGTAGTAAAGGTATCTTTTAACAGGAAATCCGATGTTTAAAAGACAAAAAAGTTTTTTATATTGAGTAACCCCAAAGTTAACAAATAAACACAATTAATGATAATTATGAAAAATTGATAATCTCCACAAAATATTCCCTTTACAACATAACATACGCTATTTTATATTTCATCTTTCTAAAAATAAGCAATCGATTTATAATTGTCTTTCAAATTGAATTTAGATAAAAGTGAAATATGATTTACTTACTTTTAGGAATGTATCACCCGTAATACTTGAGAAGTTTTGATTCCCTGAGTGTAGTTTTGGCGCATACTTCGGAACATATGGTGAATTGTCAAAATCCAGTCTGAATTTCACATGAGTTTTTCTGTCAATTAATTCCTCTTCTATAACAGTTATAGTAACATGAATATCATAAAACCGTTTGGCTACCTGTTGCAATTGACCTATCACATAATGCTTAAATCCCCGCCGTTTCGTCTGATATAACATAACACACCCATCCTTGTCCTCACTCAACACTAAAAAGGCGGGACTTTGTAACCTTGGATAGCTAAACCTTATCACTTCATGTATATTATCTATTCCGTGTAAGAAATCCCTGTAGTTTCTACCCGTCACACGAAGAAGTTTGTCATAACCGTAACTTCGACAGAATTCGACAAAGCAGGTTCCAAAGAATGTCATCCACTGATTGTAGTCCTTCGTTCCTGTCACGTGACAACAACTTTGGGCTAGTATAGTCATCAGCTCATCGCGATATGTGTTATGAGTTGTGAAAACAATGTTTTTAACACCTGCAATGATAGAAAAATCAAATATTAAATCATTTTAACCAAAAAGAATTGGACGCTCAATACAAATCATACTAAAGAGAGAACAAATTTATAAATAACTCTAAACATAAGAACAAAATGAGACAGTGTTGACCGAGTATGAATATAACCGGACTCAAATGCTTTATATGAGTGCTACCTTGATAGGCTCATCAACGAAATAATAAGGGTGGACATGACTGTAACAGAAATTCTGTTGACGCCAAGATAGATTATGGTGCAATTACGTATAGGTTTGACCCACATTTTGTCTCGTTGATTAGCATATGACTCTAAATGTAACAATTATACAATAATGATGTATTTTGACACAAGACATGTCTTTTTGTAGAGAAGGCTATCTGATTTGAAGTCTGGCATTGAAAATATGGCATTGCATGAGATCATATAAACAGTAAATTATATTTAACGGACATGGGAGAACTGCATTGGAGAACTGCAAAGTTGAATGGACATGTAATATGAATATACAATATATGATAAAATTTAAGAGTACCTGCATGTTCGAGTATTTTCTTCCATGTCTCCTCTCCCACGTCCTGTATCACATAAAATTGTACGCTTTCCAGTAACAACCCATACATCTTACCTTCACCCTTATTCTCGACCCTGGACCAAACCGGACACTGAAATTAACAATTTTAATTTTTAAACATTGTCATCGAAATTAAATTAAAATTTATTGGCGAAAAGAACCAGTTTCACGACAAAATCTCCCCCCCCCCCCGAGAAAAATCCTCACAAAAACTAAAAACAGAGATAAAAAAAATCAGAAAACAAGACACACAACATTTTATATGTAACAGATATATTATATAACTTACATAAATCATATTTATATCTACCAATATGTTTATATGGTTATTACTACAGTTGAACGCTTTTTTACTTCAAAATTTGTAAATCTTTACGTTGGGGATGTAACTAAAGGTCCTGAATCGATTACAATACAAAACTGATACACTGATACAAAAATACAGACATTGACATGAATGAAAAGACAATTGCATTAATACTGTTTAAACAATTTATTGTTCAAACAGAACATAACTATATATAAATCACGTCAATATAAAAGAGTAACACTATTATTGTTTGCTAAGCATCAGTTAGTGTCTAAACAATACAGTTTATACATTAAATCATCTGATTTCTAATTTCTATCATTTTGATATTTATCTTTCTTAAGTACTTAAAGCCCTAGTGATTTTTAGTAATTTTATAATCACCATTTCCTTGTAAATAATCATTGCACTCATAGCTCAATACTTGTTGGTTCCAAGAACGGATTCTAGCTTTCAGAAACAACACAATCAAAATAAAATAAATTCTGTAAAAAATAGTTTGTTATTTAGAATATTTTGTTCATTCGAGATAAATATTCTTCCATTACATTCAAACACCAAGGAAATGATGAAAAAGTAAATATGCATGACTTATGGTACCACTCTCCAAATAAAAACAGCAAATTACTTTTAAAGCACATTTAAAGAAGTAATTAAAATACTTAGTTATTTTAATCACAAATATAATTTCTGTATAATTAGTGTAAATATGTAACTTGATTATGATTATTTTATTATAACACTTAAAAACTTACTTTACAAATTCCCGGCCGTGTCGCATTTTTTAACAACCAATACACGTCCATTTCAACAGTAATTCACCATAAATTTAAATTCATATCTATCAATTTTCTCACAATAACCCGTTTGCCTGGGAGCAGATTAGATCACGATGACCATTCGGTCAACTTTCCATACACTAAGTCTACTTTAATGTTTTAAAATATCTTGCGGTCAAACGTTTTAACTGATTCATAATGTTTCTCATCGCAGTACGAACAATTGTAAAATTTTATCTTAACAGCATAATTATTCCTATTTTAATACATTTTTTAATTATATTAACTATATTAAACAGACCGAAAACCGCACGAAATAGCCTGTGTTCTTTTTTATCAATGGTACCTCATGTGCTTGCCCTCAGATTTTAATTACATTTTAATTACCTTCCAGTAGTACGTATTGTAGGACACTGTTTAAATAGTCACACAAAATAATAGGCTTTGTTGCATATGATTAAATGCATTTATCATGTTGTCAAAATATTATCTTTAAGCAGACTTCTTTATAGTTTCTTCACATTTTTTCTTGTCTGTTTTGTTAATGAACTTAGGTTAAAAAAGGTCATCAAACAGTCATCTTTAAAATAACTTCCTCAAATTGCAAATACTGCGTTCCAAATGTTCAATTAGCATAACCAATATTTTAATCGGGAGTTTAATGGGTATAAGTTAAATATTTCCCAATTAACGCATTTGTGTGTATTAATGAAATTAATGGTTACGTGTACTAAAACAATTTTGGTTAAAACGGCAATCGTCATGATTAATGGCAAAGTAAACTAAAACGGTATAAATCTCATCATAATCTATTTATAAATCCGTACTAAATTGATAAAAAAGAACCAAAACATTTTGTTATATAAGTGCAAGTTAAAAACACATTTACTGTTACACAGTCAATTAAAAATATCAATACAATTTTCTTTATTATTTAAGGTTGAACAATCTTATATTGAAATGAATAAACATATTTATGTTTGTTATGGTGGTGGTTGTTGAAAACACGTCAGAAAAAAAACACATATATTATGTTCTATCTAAAATAGCAATTTGATAAAACTTCTTTATTGCCACTCCATAGAATTTATTTGAATGGCAAATGAAAAATTATTACACACATAGCACATTTGGCGGATATAATTACTTTAATGATTTGTGCAGGCGACATCTAATAGTTTAATTACAATAATTTACAAAAATAGAACAAACAAATTACGAGTTGCATACCTTTGTAACGATCGTTTATATTTAGATTATGTAACCAACTATTTTCTTTTATAAAGCTTCAGTAATAATATATCAAAATGCGGATGTACCTTATATAATGGTTTTTGTATTTCTCAAAGGTCATTAACACTCAATGAAAATGACACTAAATATAAATCACATGTGCAATTTATTCAACAATTAAAAGTATCTGATGTTTCATTTGATGAACAAAGATGTGGAAAGAACAAAAAAACAATGAATATATGTAAGTACTAAAGGTATATTTCCTTAAATGACCGCAATGTATTGTGCAAACAAGGAAAAAGTATAATCTATCATTATATAATGTATTATACGTTACGACAGAAAGTAAAAAACGCAGTTATCATTAATTAAAGATTTAGATCTTTTTAGAGACTGGCTAGTTTCGAAAGTGGTGTGTTAGTTTTATTAAAGGGACTCCACTGAGGCTATTAGACATGAAGGGACTTAGAAAAGTTTTCGGTATAAATGTTTAATTTGATGTAGGTGTAGACGAATAAACTTTTTGTGTGCAAAATTTAATGTAATTCACTCACACCGTTTTGACCGTAACTTAAAAACGTAGCAACGCTTTTCAATCAAATCGGTCTAAGAATAGCACGAACATACAATTTCCAGTTCTGATTATCTGTTACATATCTTTCTGGTTAAAGGGCACCAGCTGATAAATATAAGAAATTCATTTTTTATGTTTTTAGGCTTTATGACCTTAGTGGAGTTCCTTTAATTATCTCTTCTCTAGACATGTATCAAACGTATTGTGAATGTTGTCCATTTGTTAAAGATTGTCTTGACGATACTTCTACAATGGTCGATTCACTAACTAAACATATTCTGAATAATTTGAAACGCATTGGATTACGTTTGCTGGAGATGGTGCGGACGTTTTAGTACAACACTGACTGATCAGACGTCATGACGTGTTGGGTTTTTGAAATTCAATTATGAAAACTATTTCTAAACGTTATGTTTGTAGACAATTGTTAAAAAAATATAAAAAAACAACATAAATATGTTTTATACTTTATCATGCATTTATTATTTTAATTTTTGGTACATTGAAATAACAAGAAGAAGACATAATAGAAGAAAATGATGAAGAACGAAAAAGAAGAAGAAGAAGAAGAAAAAAGAAGGAAATAAAAATAAGAAAAAGAAGAAGAAAAAGAAGGAAAAAAGATGATATGCATGAGTAATGCAAGATTTTCCTGCTTAATTGGCTTACTTATCATTTGGAGTCCAAAAGATAGTTTACCTAGCTAAAAATTCAATTCGGTCAGACATTCTATCTGTAACTGATTGTATGAAAAGCTTATCAGTGCAGATTATCAAAAGAATCAGTTTAACTTCAGACTTTTAATTTCAGAGATAATTGAATTCTGTTGATAGCTGTCTAAACAAAACATAAAACATCAGATAATCTTATCGCCGGGATAGTATTTATAACCTATTTCACCCGGTTAGTTTATTTTGAACTTTAAATCATTATATGTTTTTTCTCAAAATGATCTATAAGCTCTTTAATCTTGAACCTGGCATGAAAGAGCATATTCCACTGATGTCAGGCGCCGTATCATTATATATAAACCGCTTATATTCACAGATAACGTCGTAAACTTTGGCATGTTAAGCACGAATTTTACCACCTTTAACACAATAATCTATCATATATTACCTTTCATTCGCTATTAACTTTTATAATATCTAAGTAAACATTTCATACACCGTCAGGTCAGATATATCAAATTTCTCGCAACTTTATGTTAATTTTTCTTTATCAATATGCCTAGGGTATATTAGACACAATCAAGGCGGGAAGGATTATTATGCACTAATTTTGTTTTATAGTTTACGATAATTTTTCAGTCTGTGGCCAGACGTGACCTCAATTTTTGACTTCGTATTTAATTACCGATCGGTAAATTTTAATTGTATGAAACAAATGTTGCAAAGAATGTACTGAGTGTATCTATTATTACAAATAGTACATCACTCTTATACAAAGTTAATAAATATAATCGTAAAAATGATACTAAGGAAACAAACCATAAAATCTAAAAATGAAACACACATTTGTCACATGTTCAAACGATGAATCTCAATCACCAATAATCAAAACGAATTATTTACATCAGTAATAAGCGAGATATTGTCGTTAGTCACAAGCTTCACAACACGACTAAACTAAAACCTGTTACCGGTGTGAGATTTTCGCGAGAAATACAAGTCAAAATCCAAATTGACAGATGTTTTATCAATCATAGTTAACTTAACTTTTTGCAAAACAATGCCACAATTATTGTGTTGCCATCATATGTGACCCTGTCTTCATTCCGGATGCATGATTCGCAATTTTTCACACACGTTTCACGTTCATTGCACTGACAATAGGTTAAACAGATGTAAAAAACGGCTGAACAAATAACTTCACAAAATGGTTTAATAAGAAATGAATGGATCTTGTAATAATCTCACTGATGCCAAACTAATTTATTCCGATCACGTTTTGTTTTTATAGGCCATTTTTACGTAATAAAATCCTGACGAATTTTGATGTTGTTTTATGTTGAAAATGTAACCATTAATTATCCGGATGACAAAGTTCTTTTGTGCAATCTTTATAAATTATTCTTCTTTATGTAACACAAAATTAAGGCATTGAATAGTTTTAATACTTTGATATAAAAAAGTTGGATTGTCAAATTTTGAATTTAAGATGTATTGTTAATACAAATAATCAACGTTGCT